CCCCCCCGCCAGTCTTGGCTATCCAGCAACTTTAAATAAAGAACCCCATATTGTACCAATTTGGAGCTAGTGTGCAATTGCTTTATTCGCGGTCTCCTTCTGGAGCTCCTGACGTGGGTACGAGCCAATATATAGGTAGATTAGTGTGAGCTTGTTACACTTATTACATTTATAATAGTGAGTAATAGTGAATACTTGTGAACTATTATTTATAGTCAATTTACATTAGTATAAATTGTGTATTGACACAGATTCAAATTATATTTGTATTGTTGAATATGCTCCTATTTCTTTTGACAATATTTTTGCACCTATGCAAAGTTACTTTGTCATATTGTATGCACGCATGCACGTTTCTACCTCTGTTTAAGACATTTTGTATATCGATACAATCTTAGGATGTATTTATCATATTACATTATACATCTCTACCTCTGATCAAGACACTTATACATTGTTTACATTTTGAGGGCATTATCCTCATTTGCTGCACAGTTGCTTAAAGATGGCTTAATATTCTACTATAAAATCTTAGTCTTTAGGTTACACAGGTATTAAGTATTATTGGTCAATAGTCATTCATGTTTGTCATACTTAAAATTAGACTAATCAGGTTCTTTAGAAACAGAGATTATATTTCACATAGATAGGTAAGCACTCCAAAAAACTGTAGAACATGGCATTTAATTAACTTAGGGTTTTGTCGCCTTGAGACATGATTGCTCCTGGCAGCACTGATTCATTCCCCCTAAAAATGTTGAGCACCGGAGAAACCATGTTGCTGCCAGAGGAGAAAGACGTGAGCTGCAGCTGGAACCTTGCCAGTAGGCCATGAGCCTTGTGGTGAAATATAAAATAATAGAAATGGGCTAAGTTAAGATGCAAGAGCTAGCCAATAAGAAGCTAGAGCTAATAGGCTCTAATTAATACAGTTTCTGTGTATTTTGAGTCCGGGCAGCCAGGAACGAAAAAGTAGCCTTCCCCCAACAGATTGGTGCACCAGTGTGGGTAACTACATCCACATAAAACCTGAGAGAGCTTGAAAAGGAATTCTAGGCAAAAAAAAAAAATTTAAATTAAAAAAAAACGAATTTAATGCAGCTTCTTGCTCTGTTTGCTAGAAACAAGCAGAAGCATGATTCCATTAAGAGAGATCTTCCTGATTCAGCGGTAGTCAAAAAAAGAAAAGAAACAAACAAACAAACAAAACTGGGCGAGTTTGAAACAGCAGCTTCCTGGGCTCTGCTGCTAGCATGAACTGTGATTCTTTCGGGAGGTCCACAGGTCGGAAAGCCTCCCACCCCTGCCTGCTTGGCTTGCTTTTACCTACTAAGTAGTTTTTTGTAAAACTCCCACCAAAGCAGAATAAACTGTGCAGCGACTTGGAAATTTCCAAAGTTTGAGCACGGTTCCCAGGACCCTGCCGCGCTCCCTGCCGCGCAACGACTTGTGCGGCTTTCGGTCTGTGCTCCCTGCCCATGGGCTCTGGACTTCGTGCTCCGTGTACGGAATTGATTTAATTGCTTTTAATTTGTCAAGTATTTTAATTTTTAATTTGTCAAGTATTTCTCAGTATTTAACCAGCACCAAGGCGAAAAAACCAAAGCAACTCAGGACTGTTTGTGGCATCAGGTTGCGCCACTGATGGCGACTCTGCAACCACGACATCGGCTGTAAAATAAGGATTATTATTTCTAGAACAATTTACCGGACCTCATAACATAACATAAGCTAAATATTTTATTAATTAATAAATCAATAAACTTGAAAGTT